AGGTTAACAAAGCGGGCAAAAACTTTCGATTTGAGCCATATGGAATGGTTAACGTTTGCCAGTTTTAGATTTATCAGATGGAGATTACAAATTAATCATTTTCGTACTTAAATTTAAGATTTGTTATGAGTTAGCAGTTTGCTCTTTTTAGCGTTATTCGTTACCTTTCTAAACGGAAAAATGCAAAATGTCTCATTTTTGTTTGAATAATGTCTCGACCTCAAATGTCAATTTTGATGTTATATCTCGTAACCATAGCAACTCACTGACTCGAATTTTTTTTTCAAGTAACTCTGGGGTAAATGAAGAGCAGTTTCGACTCAAAATCGACTTGAAAAACAAACAAACAAACAAAAACGGAGAACGTTTTCTTGGGAAGGAGGGAGTGAAGAGGGGGGTGGTGAAGATTGCGGTATCCATCCTCAATCTTTTCAGTATGCTTGAGGTAAGAGAGAATTTAAAATCGGAAGAACTGACTATTTAGAAAAATCGAAGGTAAAAGAGAAGAGATGTATATAACCAGAAACCCATAAGTTTGAGTTTCTGATATAACCCATCTTTTATCACAGTGCTTGTACTGTAATGCTTGTATTATATTGCTCGTTGTCAGTAGCATTGCTTTTTGGAAAGAAGATCTGAGAAGAACTGAATTGAAGAAGAACGTAGCGGCCCTACCTGGCAGGCGCAAGGAGATGACGAAGTAGCGGTTGGGAAAGGGACTCAGTGTCCAATGATCTAGTTAAATACTCGCTTGCATGCATTTAATTCTTCTACTCCTCGTTTTCTAGTATTTTTCTCATTTAGGTCTGGAAGCCTCTTATTTCTTAGCGTGATGTCAGTACCTGTGATAGATAGAAGGATTTACTATGGCCACGTTAAACAGAGGTTAGTACCAGAAAAGATGTAATGCCAGTTTTGTATAAAGTTGTGAATCGTTGTATCCCCAGCAACTTGCAAGAAAACTGAGACTCAGGGGAAATCGCTTGTTGCATGATGGGATTGACTGACGCCTGGTTTAAGATAATTTAGATGATCTCTACAGAATTAAGGATCGGGTCCATATTGGTCAATTATCCATTTATCAGTTCACTTAAATTCCTTCACAAAAGCTGTCTACATATTTTCTAGTTACGGTTGCAAACTAAACAAAAACTAAAAGTACAACTGAACCTCAATTCAATCCTATGCAGTTAAATCGGTTTACCAAGGACATTTTCTTGGTGTGAATTCAAGATAACGTTTACAGACACGTGTCTCTTTCATTGGGGTCCGTCAATGGATCTTCAAAGCTATGTGACTGTTCTCAAATGCTTTACGAAAACATTGTGAAAAATTCGGCGAAGAAATGATTGTAAGGACCAAAACTGAAGGAAAAATAGAAAAGAGAATTAAGACATCTATCTTTTTTTTCAACAGCTAGCAGGAAAGACGCACAAAACTAAGGACTGCCCAAGCTGTTAGGAGTAAAGGAGTGAAGGCCCGATCCAGTCGCCCATCCTGCATACAAGACCCTAAACTAGTTGAAACTATTGCATATCTAGGATAATAAAAAAACAAGGAAAGCTGAAGTCGCAAATTTAAATATTTAATATATTGTAGAAACCTTAAATTTTTATTAAATGTGAAATCGCAGAGAAAAACTGAAGAACCAGAGCAGTATGGGCTCGTTTGTGAAATAAGAAACTTAATATCAACGGGTTCGCAAAGGTAGTTTTTTCTCACTTGCCATTTCTCCGCTCAAGAACAATTAGTCTTGTTCATAAATTCGTTTTTGGATATGATGATTGAGTTAATTCCAAGGGATACAAAGTTTGTCTGCGATTTCACATAAACTTGAATAGGAATGATGTAGTCCTCTTTGTGTCGCAATAATATTCTCTGAAAAGGCTTTAACCTGAAAAGATTTGTAATTTTTCGAAAAGTCATGTAAGAGTGCAAAAGTAATTGACTAAAGTCGCTTAAAATTTTTTTTTATTGAAAAAGTAAAGCTCAAAATGTCAGCTCAGTGGTAGACCGCAGCTTGATTTCCAGTTCAACCAAAACGAGGTGCGAATTATTTGAATGATTTTTTTGTACCTGAAACTTCTAAATTAAGAATTAATGCTTCTGCATAAATCTTACAGCTTAACACCTAACATAACCAGCTATAACGTTCTAATCACTAATTTTTTAGAGGTTTCAGGTACCTTTAAAGAAAAAAATATACATTTGGCTTGGAAAAGACGAAAAGGACGGAACTTAAAACTGGGGTCTCCCTGACCGACACTAAGCGTCCGAAACCGGGGCGTGGGAGGGGGGCTTAGGAGGAAAATTTTTCCCCCTCCCCCTCCAGCGTCTTGAACTTTCAACGAGTAGCAAAAATTGTAAGTCTTGTTGCTTTCAAACCTTCATAGCATCAAAAATTTCTATCTGCTGGATCAGTTCGGCAAAACAAAAAACTAGTCTAAGGTGAATTCAGTCTAGCCACTTCATTTATTTGTTATGAAAATGGACCTGTTAGAAGAGGTTTGCGATGGACCACTGTCGAACGCAAGATGGTATTTCCAAACTTGGCCGTGTTTATCTTTGTTCGTCGACAATTTTGTAAATGTTTGGAGCTTGTAGTATAAGTTTATAGTACAGATATGCTTAGGCTTGATTTCTTGTTATTAAAAGAACAGTCTTTTAGTTTGTAATAAAGTACCCTCAGTATTTAGGACGTGAAAGAACTGTGAATTTGTCTGAAAGAATAAATTAATATTTTGTTTGAAATTTTCAATTTTAGAGAGACTTTGCTGTTTAATAAATTTCTTGTAATTAATAATAGTTGTTTGATTCATACATATTGTGATTATTTTTTTCCCGAAAACTGATTGGGACGGCTGTCAGTGAGTCGTGAGCTTTAGATCTAACTCGACTTCCTAAGATCCCCCTATCCGGAAGTACGCTTTCCTCCGTCTCCCCCTCCCAAAAAGTGAGTTCCCAGGGAGGAAAATTAAATAGAGGAATGAATATAATAACGGCCGTATTTGGCGTCTGCTTTTCAGTTAGTTCGCGCTTGTAATCTTTCAATGCAGTTAAGATAAGAGTAAAAATTTACAGTTGCTGTCTTTCCAAGGCTGTGTTCACACTAAACCGGATGGCTTTTGCGCCGACAAGAATTAAAACCATACCGAATAGCAGGGTTTCTTCTGTTCTAGTGACTTCGGAGCGATTTCTTTAACGGACCGAAGCTGCGCTGCGCCGCGCTGATCTCTAAAGTGGAGAGTCGCAAAGCAGATAGGAGATCACACTATAGCGAATAGTTTTTCCAAGTGGGCACGAAAAGTTGTCCCGCATAGTGTAAGCAATTAGCCTTAAGATATTACAGTTATGGAGTTGCGCTCATGCGATCAATGTCACTATCATGACTGTAAGTCGCCGTCTTGGTCGAAAAACAAACAGCACTAAAGCTGATGGAGATAAAAATTGTTAGTTACGACAACATGTTAGATTTCCAACATTCCAGTGATACTTCTTTCTTTCTAGGATGACAAATGACACGTTCAAAAGTAAAGTTCGTTAATCTTCGCAGTCGTGTGCAAAAAGTTAATTGACATGCGAGATGTGCACGCGCGCTTGGTAAAAGATCACCGCCCATATATTGCACTGGAAAAATTAGCCGTTGATCCTGAGCGGAGAAAATATTCCGAATTTAAAGATGTGCTTTGTCTCCTCGTACTATCGGACCTCGTTTTTCACTAATCTTGACTATAACGCCACAACTTGCGCAGCAACTGGAGGTAGGTAAGAACAAAAACTAAAGTTTTCAGCATATTTGAAAAATCAAACTGTTTGCAAGTAGTGTTTTTCCTCAAAAATGTGTTGTCGCACAATCTATGGAAATATATAATCGAAGAAAATCAAAAGCACTGTGCGGGATTGATTTAGCAGAGTCAGCGGATGTTGCATCCTAATCCCGGAGTGTTTTTGGAAACTTGTCTTTGTTATACCTCGGTAACGAAAAACATCTTTATATTTAAACGACTCTACTGCCGTTCAGTGATGACGAAGAAAAAAGAATCACGCGCGCTGCGTTCCAAATTCCATAAATGACGTGATAATTATTATGACGTATCAATGGAAGTTTCAAACTTTCTTGCAAAGTAGCGAGATGGTTTTTGCTTCTTTTTGGGTCGGCTACATTGCTGCAAACAAACTTTGGAGATTCTGTTTTCACCCAAGGGTGCCTACAGCAGTTAAAGTGATACCTCAACATAGGTAGTTCAGGTTTTTTACCGTTAATTTCAGCTACAGAAAATTTTGTTTGCGCGGGATGCCTTATCAAGCTTTAGCAAAAAGATACAAGAAAATTTAACCACCATTTGAAAATGATTGTTCTTCTCAAATTCAGTTTTTTCCCTTTTTATTTAGAGAAAAGACAGACTTGATGTTTTCATTTTAGTAGTATTTTTTATGAACTTTTAAGGCCTTTTTTCCGTTGAATAACTTTTTTTTATTTTTTTGAGACGCACTTGGGAAAATTGTTGACAGTCGGTTGGCATGGTACCGAGAGAGGACGTCACAGTGTAGTCATAACTTGAGCACGAGCCAGCAAAATTTCGTTTTCCGAACTTTAAGCTTGCAAGAGTTAATTTTGCGGATGATCTTTAAGTTTGCAGGGGTTTCAATTTTGCGGATGGACAATTTTTTGCACTTTGCGAGAACCATGCATTTTTTAGCGATTTCGGATTTTCTCACAAGGAATCAAATAATTTGTACGCTTCTTAGCCGATGCGTTGAAAATTATTGCCTTTATCGGAGTCAGTTCATTGAAATTGTGATCAAATTTATGCGGAGGCTTTCTTTTTGCGGTCATGTGCGAAATAGAACTCACCAAAAGATGGTCTCATTTACACAAATATTGACATCTCTAACAGTACACGTTAGAAAATTACAAAATCATAATTAGCTTTTATTATGGCTAAGCCAAAAAAATATATTTATTTACTTTTTTTAGGATCAAGGACAGCCAATTTAGTATGCATCGGAAGACAGATCAACCGCAACAAATGGTAATAACAATGGTTTTACGTAAAAATTAATTGATAGATGTATAAACTCTTCCTTTTATATCTATTGTATCTACTTCGCATGTGCGAGCAATCTCTTTCTTAAAGCCCCCTTTAACTTTGTTCAGTGGACAACGGACAGGGAAACGTGTCTGCGGGCACGAGATTGATGATGATTAATTCATGGGCTATAACTTTTTTTAGGTAGATGTTAATTATTAGCAGTGTAAGGGTCTTTTTAGCTGAATAAAGATAACGTAGCAATTTCTTTAGTCAAGAAGCATTGACTGGCCTCAGTTGTTCAAACATCAGCCGGACAGGGCTATACACCACCGGATAAATCACTATCCTGCGAATAAGTATTAAGTCATCCATTGGATAGAGATTTATCCAGTGCATAGCGTTTACTAATCCTTTAACAAATAGGGCCTGATGATTAAAAGGTATTACAAATTATCGGAGAGGTTAGGTTGCGTCTTGGAGTAATAGAAATCAATACTGATAGCAAAATAGTCAATTCAATGGTAAATGGTTTTAAAGAGTCGGTAGCTCGAAACAGTCCCACTAGCCAGGATTCTTGGAGAGGGAGGGGGGCACTCCCCATAATGGCTTATACGGGATCAAAGATTAGGGAATTCATGTGTTGAAGGGTATGAAAGGGTAGGGGAAATTAACAAGTAACAATTATTTAAAGAGAGAATGAAATTGAATTTTTCAAAAAGATGAGCCTTCTGGCTAAATAATTCAATTTATTAAACGTTACACGAGAATGAAAAAACGACTTGCCTTTTTAGTGATTTATTCAGACTTGTTAAGTAGGTATGTGAAAAAGGGTACCTTCTTGCAATGAAAGGTATTTCTGTCAAAACGGCATATCTAAAGGGTAAGGGGCTGAACCTCGGAGGGGAGCCTCCCCGTATAAGACTTTGGTGAGAAACCCCCTGCCTCCTGCTGGCCATGATTAGCGGTCACGACCGGGAATCGAACCCAAAACCTCAGGTCTTGCATAGGTCAATCCTTGCTCTTAAAGAAAAATGTAGCTTACTAAATAGGGAATACATGTGAAAAGGGGTACTATTTTGCAATGGAAGTTGGAAAACTCTTTTCTGTCAAAAATGGTATATAAAAGGGACGGAGCTTCCCCGTATAAAAATTAGTTGAGAAGCCCTCCCACCCCCCCATCCCACCAGGATAAGAGGTAACATCCGGAAATCGAACACGAGACCTCTTGAAAAACACCTTACAAGGCTATTGACTTTTAATTTCACAGGTTCCTACCCTAGCACCTGAAGATGTGATGGCTGAAAAATTGGCAGCTGAAGTAATAAGCAGCAGTTTAAGAGAGGTTGCTGAAATCGTTTTAAAAGAAGAGGTTGTCCCTGTTGTCGCACATGAGGTCGGTGAAGCGAGAGAGAAAAACAGCGCTGTAAAATTGATACCTGACTTTGCGATCGAGTTAGAAAGTGTACGTAGGGCGACCGAGGTACTCATACGGGAAGAACTTCTAAATGTGATCGCTGAAGACTTGGCAGCGAAAGTAATTACAAGCAGTTTAAGAGAATTGGAAAGCGTCTCTTTGGTTGAAGACATTGCATCTGAGGCAGAGAAAATAATCCCAGAGGCCACCTGCGAATCGACTGATAGTGTGATCGAGCCTGAATCTGAAGATCCCGAGTTGCATAGAAGCGTCAAAGAAACCTTGAGTGACGTCACTAGGCCTAGTGACGATGACAAGCTCAGCAACAAAGCCCATGAGTGCTTTTTAGAATGGGAAACCGTCAGTGCAGTTCAACCAGAAATTGCCTTGGAGTTTGAAAATGTAACTGCAGTCACTGAGATATGTTTACAAGAAGAGATTGTCTCTGTTGTCGCACACGAGGTCGGTGAAGCGAAAAAGAAAAACAGCGCTGTAAAATTGGTACCCGACTTTGCAATCGAGTTAGAAAGTTTACGTGGGGTGACTGAGGTACTCGGACAAGAAGAACTTATAAATGTGATCGCTAAAGACTTGGCGGCAGACGTAATTACCAGCAGTTTAAGAGAATTGGAAAGCGTCAATTTGGTTGAAGAAATTGCATCTGAGGCAGAGGCAATCCAGGCCGTTGTATGCGAATTGACTGATAGTGTGATCGAGCTTGAGTCTGAGGATCCAGTGATGGATGAAGTCAGTGAAACTTCGGTTGACCTTCTTGTTGACAAACTCAGCGGTGCAGTGGAAGGGAGTGAGTGCATGTTAAAATGGGAAACTGTCGGTGTAATTGAGCCAGAAATTGAGGTCGAGTTTGAGGGCGTAGCTGCTGTTACTGACATTCCCGTACAAGAAGAAATCATCTCTGGTGTCGTCCATAACTTGAGCGCAGAAGTGAAACCTGACCTTTCTTTCGAGCCACAAAGTGTTACAGCCGAAATTGATATTCCTCTCGAGGTGGGAAATTCCACAAGTACTCGCGGGTCAGTTTCAACGAAAAAAGAGAGTGCGTTTTTCCCAGAATGTTCATTGCAGATGGAAAACGGCAGTGATGTTTCTTCGATCTCCAATGAAGCTGCAGCTGCAGAAGTAAAACCATCCTGCACACTCTCGCCTGAAAGTTCATTAGACTTGAAGAGTGTAAGTGAGGTCGTTTAATTTCCTTTAGAAATAGAGACTGTGACAGATCACTCATGCCTCACTCAGACTGAATTGCAGGCCGACAGTTCAAATATTTTTGAGTGATGGCTTGATGGTAACGAAATCCCCTTGTACATTGTAAATTAAAAATATCTGCCTCGACTCCAAAGTGCTAATTTAGCCTTCAAGCACAAGGTCTGATAGAGCCATTTGAGTATAATCAAGGCCACGTTGGGGCTCTTTCGAAACTATGAATCTGCAGCTTTAAATTTGCAAAAATACATACAAACAAACTACACCCACCCTTGTATCATGTTTAAAAGTTGTTCTAGGAACTACTTTGTTTTAATATGTATTTTTGTGCCTTCAGGTTGAAATGTATGCAGCTGAATGCCCAGATCCCAACGATGATATTATTGGAAAGAAGACTATGCCAAACAGAGAATTCGGACTAACTTGGTAAGACTTTCCCCTAACAGAATGCTAAGAGGGAGTGATCTATTTCTTGATCCCTCACAATATTAATCCCGGCGAAATTCAAGATTACAGTACGAAGTCTTTAGTATTAAGTGCGCTGAAGTATTGTACTGAATTTGAGCCTCTTGTTTTTTGAGCTTTGGTTGAAACGTATTTAGACAAGCTGGAATCGAACCAATGTTTGTAACCTTTGCTTGGTGTCTTCTATATTCCAGCACCACAGCGCAAGTTAATAGCCAATATGTTTTAAAAAAGTTGTTGGAATTTACCTTGTGTTGTGTTGCTGGCTTCAGCGTTTTAACTGCATGACGCGGGATTTGAAACAAAGGATTTCAGCGGAATGGATCTTGGGTATAAATTACTGTAGTTGCACTCGGCCTAGGATGGTAATCATGCATGAGAACTTTACAAGGTGTTTCATGATATGGACTTTAAAAATTCCGGTTCTTTGGGAAGTAAATAAATAAAACGTTATGGCATAACAGCCCGTTGACATAATTGTGTTCTCTAAATTAGGCTTAGTTTATACTGATATATAAATAGACGAAGACAAACAGGACAAATACGCGCTTGAAAGTCGCGAGCTTCCAACTAGAAAGTTTGTATGTAAACAGGAGGAAAACTGGAACTTGGTGGTTACCGTTACCTGTGGTCTTTTTTATATTTCAGCATTGCAGGAAAAGTCGACCAACATGTCTTAAACGCTGAAGCGGTCGAATTTATCCCACGCTTTTCAACAACTAGCGGTTTTGTAACAGACACGTTTGCCAAACCGGCGCATAGGTATGTTTTATATTTCATTTCTATAGCACACGTGGCAAGTTACTCATTTATGAGAGCTAACTGAGATATCAGTCACAAAAATATGTGCGTGTAAACCAAACGAAAAGTTCTTTGGTCCTTAAGGATCGTCTTACCACCATGTACATGTAAACAGCCATTCTGAGATTCACCCAACTCGTATAGGTCACTGAAAAACAGTGACCTCGTTTTTAAAAGCTATCCCTATGAAAAGCCTGCTAAGTATCGCACTAGCTCAACTGCAACCAACTGCTTCAGGTTTTTCCTAACAGAACGTAGACGAATCTGTTAAGTCTCTTGGCTGCTTTCCAGCCTCGCAAGCCTAAATCGAGGTGTCCTACAGTGATTCATTTTAGGCCTTCTTCTCTTTTCACACTTGCCTGTGATCATTTAAGTTAGGAAAAACCAATAAAAGAGTAAACTAGAAGCTTGATCTCTTTTGAGTATTGGCCTGCTTTTCTTTGCTGTTAATTTGCAAAGCAAACTGGATCTTGCTTTTTATTGTCGTCTGTCGTCTTTTATATTTTTCAGAATTGCAGGACAAGTTGACCAACACCACCATGTTTTAAACCCTGACGCGGATGAATTCATCCCCTGTTTTCAAGCAACTCGCGCATTTGAAACAAAAGTTTTTGGCAAACTGGAGCTTGGGTATAAATCATACTTTGCATTTCTATTGCGCATTTATTTAAAAAGGATGTTAATCATTTGTGAGAACTAATTGGGCAATGTTAGGTACAGATGATAGTCTACGGGTCCTTTTAAGAAGCCCCATTATAACTTCATAGCATATTAACCTGACTCACTTGTAGTGAGCCTTGGCCTGTTTTTCTTTGACTTTGAACGTAACAGGACTCCAGGTAAACAGGAAGGTGTTGGTTACCGTTGTCTGTCGTCTTTTTTAATATTTCAGCATTGCTGGACAGGGCGACCAACGTCATATATTGAACCCTGAAGCCGATACATTTAAACCACGCTTTCAAGCAACGGGGGGAATTCAAACAGACGATTTTGACAGAACGGAATTTGGGTATGTATTTATTTTATTTCTATATTGTGCACTTAGGAAGAGTATCATTTAGGAGAACTAAGAAAAGAAGAATATGCGCCGGAGTAACGTTCGTTACTTTCCCACTAGAATGATGTGAAGTAACACAAATGAGAAGTTATTCCGCCTTCTACGATCTTCTTCCAGTCCACTTCTTTTCAGCCAGTTTTTATAGAGCTTTATAGCAACATGGACATGCCCAGTAAAACAAGCGACAGCGCCCCAGTGAAACGCTCAAATTTAGAACTGATGTAGCTGATAATCGCTAGGTTAACTTAGGAAATCTTTTTTCCCACAGAATTCCTGGAGGAAGGCATTCTTTGAACGTTTTTGCGAAGGACTTTGTCCCTGCCGATTTTCAGGTTAGTATATTTTCAGAAATGATATGACCTAATCAACACAAGATATTAAATGAAATTTCCTTTTTGGCTCAGAAATGCCATTAGAGCAGCTCTCTGGAGATTCCGTCAAAAACGCATCATCTCTCTTTTTGAAACCTCCCACCAAAAAAGAACAATACCGTTTGACTGGCTGTGCATCCTGCAATAGTTTTATTTAAAGTATAGCTAATTTCTACATTGAAAGACATTACAACCACGAGAATATAAGCATTTTTTCCAAACTTAGTAAGAAAAGAACAAAACAACAGCCCAAACGTACTTGCACCTCCACCAGGATCAAGTAATGGTTCTTTGTCGTAACAATAAACCGAGTATATGTCTTTATACATGCTACTACTCTAATAGGATAAACGAATATTTAAAACTTTATCATGACAAGATGATAACAAAAAAGGTTTGTTTTCACTTTCGTACTCTCAAGAAAAATAATTTCGAACGAACACCTATATCGACCGGATCCTACTTATTACATTCTCCATTCTAACGTTTTGTGATTACAGAACAGAGCAAGTGCCTCCATGGTTGTTCCCCCCGAGTACGATGTGGCCCCCATAGCAGCTCCAGCCCTGCCACACCCTGTCAGACCACGACGTCGAGCCAGACGTCAGAATAATCCATCTGTGTTAAATCATCCCCAGAATCTACAGCCAAGAGGTATTTAGCTAGATCGAATAAGTAGTCTCTCGCAAACAAATAGATCCAATGGATTGACTCCAAACTTTCACTATATCTATCACGAATGCAAAACCGGTAATGCCAATGGAGTGTAACCGTGACTAGTAGATCGAGTTATAATTTTGTATGTTTATAATTAATTCGAAATAAATTTCTTGCATATCTATATGTAACTTAGTAAGGAAGAGAGTAAAGTTCGCACTTGTAAAAGACATGCCAGTTATTTGCATGCACCTTTCAAAATATTAAAGCCATAAGTGTCACAGCTTACTGACAAAAAAATCTTTTTTACACAGTGAGCCCTGCCTTCTATGACCCCTATCAAGCTCAACCGTCTTATTTCATGGGACCAAGTTGGCCAACATCTGACAGGTTGGTTCAAATCGACATCATCCTGTCATTATCAGCATCATTATCATAATTATTATCAGTATTATCGTCATTTTCATTGGAATCATCATCATAACTATTTCTATCATTAACGTTATTTGTATTGTTATCTTCGTCATCATCGTCATCATTATATCATCATCGTCTTTTGCATCATTATCATTGTCGTCACCATCTTCTTTAGGGACCTTAAGCAACGACGACGGCAGTGAAAACGTCGCAAAAAAAATGAATTTGCGTTCTATCAAACTTAATCGCGTCTTTTTGGACCCACTCAATGTGTTAAATGCAGGCGACTTTTCCTGGAGTTGAATTCTTAAGGATTTTATTCAAGTTCAAAAAGAGGAAGGAAAATTCGTCGTCGTATGTCCACGTCCTCCATAAAACGTCAAATTAGGAGGTTTCACGTCGTAGTCGTGCAGTGGAAGTCAAAGAAATTTACTAAAAAAGCGTGATGCACGTGCAGAGCTGTTGTTTTAATCATTAAACCTATTGTTTTTTGAGGTTGTCGTCGTCGCCGTCGTAGTTGCTTAAGCTCCCTGTTATCACAGGTATCATCATCGTCATCATCTTCATCACCACTGTCCTTACAATTAACATCATTGTTATCGTCATCGTCTTTCCCACCATAATCGTCACTGATACCCCTGATCACATACTAGTTAAAAAAAATTGTTTTTATTTTCCGTTGTTTATCATTTCCTCGCTGGGAATCCGTATCATTCCTCTTGTGATTTTCCAAAACTCCTTAAGTCCTCTCCACTAATATTGGTTATATTATGGAAATGCCAGGAGCAACAAGGTTTTGTCCAGTTTTCAAAGGCCAGTTTTATTTGAGATCGATTCACCCGTGGATTTTGACAATCAGCTACAATCAAATCAATCTTACAAATGCGTCATTGATTTAATGGCGACCAGAAATTCTCTGTTGTTCTGATAACATTTGTCTCACTTTTTCTCACACACAGAGTACAAAGCGGTGCTTCCATTTTCGGGGGGAAAGTACTATGCTCGAAATGATGCTACTAAGTGCTCTTAACTGTCAAATTACGAATTCAAGGATAAGGAAGACCAGCTTGCTAGCCACTTTACTACAGTGTCAATGCTAAAATACAATATTTTCTTTATAGTTACGTACTAAGTTACTAAAAATAGTTTTTAAATGACTTATTCTTTTTTCTTTTGTTCATCAGGTACAAGTCAGGCTGAAGCTTCGGAGCGTTGAATGATTACTTCACGAATTTTTGTTATCTGAACTTAAATGTGATTATTAATATAAAGTTGTAATTATTTTTGTGTTTTTTCAAATTACATATTTAAGAGTCTCATTAAACATTTTCTTGTTTCCGGATCATGTTTCTATTTTACATCACTTAGTCTTTTTGGCGTGGTTCCCACTAGCGTTACTTTAATAACAACGATCGTAGTCGTAAACAGAATTTAGCAGGGAAAGCAGCTGCTGAAAACCTTAAACATATAACAACGTTTATCAGAGGCAACATGATGAACATAAGAAAAGGATTGGCCTTTCTTAGGATAATGAGACAATCAGGGGCGTAGCCAGGATTTTTCAAAGGGGGGTCACCATCCGGGGATCGCCGACTATATATGGTTTATACCGCTGCTCTCCCTCGTGTATCAGTGGGCTCAGTCGTATTATCGCGGCATGAAGGCCCATATTAACTAAAGACAAGAACCGTTGACGAAAATACTTTACAAAAAATTAAATTTAAAAAAAGTGGGCTTTTCAACAATGGCTTTTACGGCCAAGATATTGTCATGGCGTTTTTGCCACCTGAATATTGTAGGTTGTTTGCTCAAAAGAAAGCCTACCAAAGGTGGGTCAGGGGCACCCCAGGACCCCGCCTAGCTACGCCTCTGACAATATCAATGATTTGCTTATAGCTAATAATGTTCAGCATTCCCCTTAGGACATCAATAAATAAACCACATAGATATGCTCTCTTTGTGACTATGATCAATATGGAACTTTTTAAGGTGCCCTATATATATGTATATATAATCAGTATAAGAACGATATTTTCATAGTCTAGAAAAGCTTTTTCTATATCGAGAACATTACTTAATATCACATTTTGGACAAAAATCATGCGTTAACCTCTTTTCAAACAGGTCAATTCACAAACTAACAATCTTTCAAGACCAAGAAAGCTATGAAAAAAATCAAATTCGAGAGTTGATGAGAACGAAATTCTTCTACTCAAAAAATGCTTAAAGTAAAAAAAAAACTAAACAAGAATTTCAAAATACTATCTAAGACCAATATTTAATAGTCTAGAAAGGCTAAATTTCTACTACACCTAAAGCATAACCAAACATATCATGGCATTTCAAAGCCGGGAAATAAAAAACGGAACCATAAGTAAGTTTAGTACCTTCCTTAAAAGTAGCAAATCTAGAAAACACTTTCTTTTACGGTTAACTCTTTTTTACGCTATTTACGGTTAAATTTTTGGCCGTTTTACGCCTATCGGTTAATCCCATTGAGACCCTCGGTTAACGCATGGTTTTCGTCCAAAAATGGCCATTTTTCCAACTTTTTTTTTAAGCAATATAGGCCAGCAAAATGTCGCTTACGATAATCTAGAACGAAAAAACGCCTTTCTAGGGAATAAAAAAAAGAAGTTCAAAAAGTCGAAAAATTGAGATTCTTCCGAAGGGGTTAACCCAGGGTTTTGGTCCAAAAATGGTTATTTTTCCAACTTTCTTTTTAGGCAATATAGGCCAGGAAAATGTGTTTTACGATATTCTAGAACGAGAAAACGCCTTTCTAGGCTATAAAAACAAGAACTACAAAAAAACGAAAAATTGACATTTTTCCAAAAGGGTTAACCCAGGCTTTTGGTCCGAAAATGGCCATTTTTCCAACTTTCTTTTTAGGCAATACAGGCCAGGAAAATGTGTTTTACGATATTCTAGAACGAAAAACCGCCTTTCTAGGCCAAAAAAAAAAAAGATCAAACAGTCGAAAAATTGACATTTTTCCAAAGGGGTTAACCCATGGTTTTGGTCCAAAAATGATCATTTTTCCAACTTCTTTTTTTTCAGGCAAAAAAAGGCGAGAAAAAGGTCTTTTACGATATTCTAAAAGGAAAAAACGCCTTTCTAGGCTATAAAAACAAGAAGATCAAAAAGTCAAAAAAACTGACATTTTTCCAAAGGGGTTAACCCATGGTTTTGGTCCAAAAATGGCCATTTTTCCAACTTTCTTTTTTAGCAAATATAGGCTAAGAAAATGTCTTTTACGATATTCTAGAAAGAAAAAAACGCCTTTCTAGGCTATAAAAACAAGAAGTTCAAAAAGTCAAAAAATTGAAATCTTTCCAAAGTCGATAATCCATGGTTTTGGTCCAAAAATGGCCATTTTTAACTTTTTTTTTTAGCAATATAGGCCAAGAAATTGTCTCTTACGATATTCTAGAACGAAAAGACGCCTTTCTAGGCTATAAAAACAAGAAGATCAAAAAGTCGAAAAATTGACATTTTTCCAAAGGGGTTAACCCATCGTTTTAGTCCAAAAACTACCATTTTTCCAACGTTTTTTTTTGGGCAATATAGGTTAGGAAAATGTCTTTTATAATATTCTAGAACGAAAAAAGCCTTTCTAGGCTAAAAAAACAACCAGTTAAAGTAGTCAAAAAATTGACATATTCCCATGGTTTTGGTCCAAAAACAACCATTTTTCCAACTTTATTTTTAGGCAATATAGGCCAGAAAAATGTGTTTTATGATATTCTAAAACAAAAAAACCCCTTTCTAGACTATAAAAACAAGAAGTTCAAAAAGTCGAAAAATTGACATTTTTCCATGGTTTTGGTCCAAACCCATGGTTTTGGTACCAAAAATGGCCATTTTTCCGAATTTTTATTTTCTAGCCAATATAAGCCAGGAAAATGTCTTTTATGATATTCTAGAACGAGAAAACGCCTTTCTAGGCTATAAAAACAAGAAGTTCAAAAGTCGAAAAATTGACACTTTTCCAAAGGGTTTTGGTCCAAAAATGGCCATTTTTCCAACTTTTTTTTTTTCGGCAATATAGGCCAAAAAAATGTCTTTTATGATATTCTAGAACGAAAAAACGCCTTTCTAGGCTATCAAAACAACAAGTTCAAAAAGTCGAAAAATTGACATCTTTCCAACGGGGTTAACCCATGGTTTTGGTCCAAAAATGGCTATTTTTCCAACTTTTTTTTTTTAGCCATTATAGGCTGGGAAAATGTCTTTTATGATATTCTAGAACGAAAAAACGCTTTCCTAGGCTGAAAAAACAGGAAGTTCAAAAAGTCAAAACTTTGACATTTTTCCAAAGGGGTTAATTCATGGTTTTGGTCAAAAAAATGGCCATTTATCCAACTTTTTTTTTTTAGGCAATATAGGCCAGGAAAATATCTTTCATAATGTTCTAGAATGAAAAAACGCCTTTCTAGGCTATAAAAACAAGAATTTTAAAAAGTCGAAAAATTGACATTTTTTTGCAGGGGTTAACCCATGGTTTTAGTCCAAAAACTACCATTTTGTCAACCTTTTTTTTTTTAGGCAATATAGGTTAGGAAAATGTCTTTTATGATATTCTAAA